GCCCGCCGAGCCAGAACCAATGAGAGCGTCGAGAAACCAGTCCTGGTGCTTGGAGCTGCCGGAACCTTCGAGGATAGAGCCAAACGCACCGGAGGAATCGGCAGCGGGATGGAAGAGAAAGAGGCGGAGACGAGGGGTTCGGAAAGCGAAAAGGCGATCGTATTCGTCCATCATGTTCTCGACGTCCTCGTCAGAGGTGAGGGAGATGAGAGCTTCGAGGTCTTCGTTGGGGAGCTGGTACTTGATAGTGAGTTGGTCGGCGGGGACAGCGGAACCTGCTATTTTGCTGAGCTTGGAGAGGAGGGTTGCGAAGGATGCGGAGCGAGGGATGGCGATGATGCGGGTGTCGCCGCCGACGTAGCGAAGTTGGTGGTCGTGGGGGCGAGGAAGGATGCGGCCGCCGAAGCTGCACATGAGCCTAACGAGTTGGCTGGATGCAGTGGGAGAGGCGGATGAGTCTTCGTCGTTGTTCCAGCAGGAGGGTGGCCGCCGTGGATGGTCGGACGGGGTAGTGGGGGTCATGGAGTCGGCTTCTAATTCGTAGATCATAATAACGCTGCCCAGAAGCGATGCTACATAATATGAGTGAGGTTATTTATAAAATGGGCATTTACATACCTACCAACCAATTCATATATATTTACATATTAACACCTAAAATTTGGTATTTTACATTTATAGCACTCAAATCTTTCATATAACGTGAAATATACTATCTTTTTAACTTAAAAGTGTAATACACCTTTTTATGGATAGATAAGGTGTTTTGTATGTAATAAATTCAAGTTTAGATGTTAAATATGCAAATACATAAGAATTAAGGGTATGTATGTAAATATTCCTTCATAACATTCAATTTGAAAATAAACAAATAAATGTAAGGAAATGTAGTGGGTATCAACTAGGCAATGAATGTTATTGTCATGATTTGGAATTCAGTCATATTTACAGAATAATAAATTCCCCTCTTGCTTTCAATAAAAATAAAAAAAATAATTATAATAATAATTTATAATTACACAGTATTGGTAAACTATACCTATTCTATAATTATTAGGAAAAAAATATGTCTAAGAAGTTATTTTGAATGAAAAATATGTTTTTGTCATGATTTGAAATATTGTTTGTGGTTCAAACCGCTTCAAATTTGAATTAATATAAAGTAATTTTGAAAGACTTAAAAGTTTAATCATTAGTTTAAAAATATAAGATATCATTTCCCTTTGAGATGATTTAGGGTCCGTTTGGGGCTGCTTTTTTCGAGCGGCGCGGCCCCAAACCGCGACATTTTTTTTTTCATGCGCTTTCTGTAGTGGTAGCAGCTGTTTGCCGCTAAAGTAGGTTGAACGCGGCCCCCGCTTTCTCGAGTGTTAATACCTCTTTTGCCCTGCTTGAAAGCTCCCCTAACCTTCAGTGTTCGTGAAAATGCGCGGATCGACTTTGAAGCCCCTATACCGCTGCTCCGTTGCTTGTCGTGAAGCCTCCCCCCACTCCTCCCCCGTTACGCCGTTGCTCATCTTCCACCGTCGCTCGGGTGTGGAGTCTTGATCGAAGCCGCTACTCCTAATCGGTATTTCTCCTCCTAATTTTTTCTTCATATTTTGTTGTAGTACTTCGTGGCTTACGTATCTGGGGGAGTCGTTCCTGTTATTTTTCGTTGTTTCCGTATCCATTGCCCCACTCGAATCCTGCATTCTCAGGTTCTTCCATCAGTGAAGAGCAGAGCAACATGGGTAGCCTCCATCTGCCTTCAGCATTGAGATTTGGAAACGAGATTTTGCAAGTGCAAGTGCAAATCACAAAGAGTTTTGTTCTCATTTTTACATATACCTGGAATCACAATCGATTCTTCCAATGATGCAAAGCTTAAAAAATCAACCCAGGTTTAGTGGTTGCTTGTTGGAATTTCTGTTTGCATTTTTATGTTTCCTTGTGAACTCCAAGCATTGAAGACGAGTAAGCTAGGTAATGCTATTTTAGCATTGACTGTGGTTTATGGAAAGGGATTGGAAACAAACTTTCCTGACTATTACTAAGGTTGATGCTCGTTTATATGCGACTTAAATACTACACAGGAACAGGATGGTCATCTTTCCATAAACAGCTGCCCCACAACTGTTTTGACACAGTTGCAACAAACATGCAGCCAGCTTCCCCGCAGCAGCTTCATGGAGTAGCACAGCTGCAGCTGAAAAGCTGAGAAGCTGCAGCTGCCTCAAACAAAGGCTTTAGTCATATGGAGCACTTAAAGTTAGGAAATATATAATCAATTGCTTGTTTTATGAGTCATTTAAAATTAATTTTTCCTAACTTTATGTATTTATGCACGTGAAAATTAGTGATATTTGTGTAAAAATAATGTTTAAATAATTTAAGGTTGAGGACATATATATGAAATTATCACAAAAATCAAGTATATTCATTATCATTCATGAAGGAGAATCTATAAATTATTCAACCGAAAGTAATTACGTGGACAACATAAACACTATGAGTCATACATAAAGCAACATTATTTATTCTTTAAAAGAAAAAATATTCCCTCCATTATAATTATCAACATCAATTTACACTTAAGAGTTTTAATGATTTTATTGAAGAGATTAGAGAAACTTCTTGCCAAGATGCCAAATCAATGTAGCTTAAAGCATGCTAAACTCATCAAAAGATAAAATCTACTAGCTCAAAAAATTAAGCAACCGAGATAGTCAATTTGCTGAAGCTACTCAACCAGTTATTTATATTAAAATTATCATAAGAATTCAATAAACCAGCTAACTAATCCAGGTAGACTAGCCAATAGGATTCATATCATTAAAATTAATTTCAAAGTAAAACTAGAAATCACAATTAAAAATCTTGGACAACTACCGACAAAGAAGAAATTCATTTCATATCAAGCATTATAAGACTTTATTATGCAATTTTACTTGTGGTACATAGTGAGAGCTATACATGTAGCATTAAACCTTGATGCAAATGTATAAATAGGAGATCATAGGATGAGCACAACACATTATAATAGGCTCATATCACATCAATCTTGTAATCTTCAATGCAACAAAATAATAATAATAATAATAATAATAATAATAATAATATTCACATAACTTCCTTTTTTTTAATTTTTTTATTTATTTATCTTATAGCTTAAACAATGTTTCTTTATAAAATCACGTCTTTTCTTGATGAACCTAAATACAACGAATAACTTAGCAACTATTGAGAATATGAATCTACTAAATTTTTTTTTTTTTTGGATGTTGGCACATTTTTAGTTTTATGCTCTATACAGAAGGCATATTTAAGTCAAATGATTAAATTTTTATCATTATAAGATTTACACTCCATCAGAAGGTAGTATATTGTAGTTAATAGTGGTATGATCATATGTTTGGTTCATGATTGTTGGAAACAACAAATATGATGATGACATGACAATTTGCAAGCAAGCCCATCGAATGAATGGAATGGAAGAATACCATGCTAATAAGGCATCCACATAAGTAATGGGTGGTAGGGTAAACTATATAAAAATAAACAAGAGTTATTATTAGGTTGTTAGGTTTTTTTTTTTCTATTTGTTTATTTATTTAAATATTCATTGTATCCTTTGCTAATTGATAGTTAGTAAACATTGATAGAAGTTTATATAAAACAGGTGAGATGAAGGGTCAAAAGTTTAAGAAAGAATTGAAATTAGTCGCTTCCTTATTTATATATTCCTTCTTCTTGGAGCTCTTTAACAAGGCTCAAATTTGATGTTTAATAATTCATGAAATTTAGTTTCTAACAATTATCTAAAGAAAATGAAGGGCAAAAAAAAATATTGTTATAAAGTTTATTTAAATTTGACTTAAAATTCAACAACGAAAAAAAAATCAATTTTAAGCACCAACCTTTCTAAACGAAGCAATAAACTTGCAAGAAGAAATAAAAACTAACTTAAAGACAAAACCTCAACACTAGGATCTCTTCTATAAACAACTCTTATTGCATCTCTCAAGCTTCTACCCTTACTTACATCATCATCAAAACCAATCTTTTTTAAACCATCATCAATCAAATATTTAACTGCTACAACAATTATAAAGAAAAATCAGTTATGCAGAGGAAAAATCATTTCTCTTGTGATCACCAATAATTATTGGAAAAAATATTTTGTATAGGATGTTGCAACATATATCATTCTATATCAAATAATAAAATTTCAACAAAAACCTTTTTTCCAATAATAACACCTCACTAACTAACGGTGCTCGCTAGTGAAGGGTTGAACTACAAGATACATTAATCCAAGTTTGCATTTATGGCGGATTGACCAACACATATATTTATCCAATAAAAATTTGAAGAATAATTGTGTTGTTTTTAAACCCATGGTTGCAAACAATGATAATGACAATAATGATTAACAAGAAGTAATATTAAAAAATAACTCACCTTGTTTAAGAAAATGAAGATAACCATCGTGACAGTAGAGCTTATATATTTGTAGTAGTAAGGCATTTTTATTAAATAAAATGAGAGTCATTATTTAGGTGTTTAATGTTTTCTATAGATATTTCAAGTGTAATACGATGTGTATGAAATATGTATTGTTGTGTAGTATGGTCATGGCATTATTTGTGTCATTTTTATGCTTTTTGTTGGCATGTTTGGTATGTATGTGCATCATAAAGGAAACTTTAGAGAATTTGTAGCAAAAGAGGCTAAGTAATATTGAGCACTTTAGTGCCAATGTAAAAACCTCAATGCCCAATTCAACCACATCTAGCCCTAATTTAGATAGCTCAAAACCACAAAGTTAGAGGCCAAATACCCCCATCTGATAAACTGACACTACTCTTCAATGCCCTAATTTGATGATTTAGAGACAAAAAATGTGGCGCCCAAAACAACATTATCATTTCTACAAGTAATGCATTGGTGCTACTCAGCCAGCACTATCGTGCCCTCACCTACTTAGGGTGGTTTTGGTGGCATTATCGATGGATTGGCTAGGGGAGACGATAAGAAAATAAATTTTCTTCAGTAAGAAAACTTCTTAATGACATGGAGATGCTTGGATACACTTGCAGCACATGAGGTCGATGTGCACCTTGGGTGAAACATCGAACACTTAAAGATGAACAATTTTTCTCCATGTTGTGAGAAAGGGGAGTTCACTTATATGTTTGTGGGTGAGTGTTTATAATTAGTGTGGCAGAAAATTTGAGAGAAATCACAGAGGAGAACAAAGACAGAGGACTCAGAGTGAAAAGAGTTTAATATGAGTTGTACTTTTCCATAATTGTACACTTTGAATTTTTATCACTGAAATCTTGTTTGTTTTCTTTAAGCATATCTAGGAGCTATGTATTTTATGTTTCTTTAATGTGATAATGTGAAAGTTGGCATCAATTTTAGATTTCATGTATGATGATGCCCACTTGAGTGCTACAAGACTGTTTAAAGCTTCTTATAGCATAGGACATATGTCCCCACCAACTGATATGTGCCTCAAGAATGGAACTAGGGTTGGTCTCAATTTAGCCCTACCCAAGAGAATTCGTTGTGGGGTGAAATAAATCCCAACACATGACACATTTAATATCTATGTAGGTATTTAATGGTCATACCTCTCCTATTTGGAACCTCCATTGGCTAATGGGAGTC